GAAGCCACTATCGATACCGAAAAGATGTTGACATTCTACGCTACTTTAAACAACTGGTCACGATGGAAGCCACTATCAATACCAAAAAGATGTTGACATTCTACGCAACTTTAAACAACTGGCCAGGAAGGAAGCCACTATCAATACCGGAGAGATGTTGACATTCTCGCTGCTTAAACAACTGGCCAGGAAGGAAGCCACTATCAATACCTAAAAGATGTTGACATTCTCGCCACTTTAAACAACAGGTCAGGAAGGAAGCCACTATCAATACCGAAAAGATGTTGACATTCTACGCTACTTTAAACAGCTGATCAGGAAGGAAGCCACTATCAATACCGAAAAGATGTTGACATTCTACGCTACTTTAAACAACTGGCCAGGAAGGAAGCCACTATCGATACCGAAAAGATGTTGACATTCTACGCTACTTTAAACAACTGGTCAGGAAGGAAGCCACTATCAATACCGAAAAGATGTTGACATTCTACGCTACTTTAAACAACTGGCCAGGAAGGAAGCCACTATCGATACCGAAAAGATGTTGACATTCTACGCTACTTTAAACAACTGGCCAGGAAGGAAGCCACTATCAATACCAAAAAGATGTTGACATTCTACGCTACTTTAAACAACTGATCAGGAAGGAAGCTACTATCAATACCGAAAAGATGTTGAAATTCTACGCTACTTTAAACAACTGGTCAGAAAGGAAGCCACTATCGATACTGAAAAGATGTTGACATTCTACGCTACTTTAAACAACTGGCCAGGAAGGAAGCCACTATCAATACCAAAAAGATGTTGACATTCTACGCAACTTTAAACAGCTGATCAGGAAGGAAGCTACTATCAATACCGAAAAGATGTTGACATTCTACGCTACTTTAAACAACTGGCCAGGAAGGAAGCTACTATCAATACCGAAAAGATGTTGAAATTCTACGCTACTTCAAACAACTGGTCAGAAAGGAAGCCACTATCGATACTGAAAAGATGTTGACATTCTACGCCACTTTAAACAACAGGTCAGGAAGGAAGCCACTATCAATACCGAAAAGATGTTGACATTCTACGCTACTTTAAACAACTGGCCAGGAAGGAAGCCACTATCAATACCGAAAAGATGTTGACATTCTACGCTACTTTAAACAACTGGTCAGAAAGGAAGCCACTATCAATACCGAAAAGATGTTGACATTCTACGCTACTATAAACAACTGGCCAGGAAGGAAGCCACTATCAATACCGGAAAGATGTTGACATTCTATGCAACTTTAAACAACTGGCCAAGAAGGAAGCCACTATCGATACCGAAAAGATGTTGACATTCTACGCTACTTTAAACAACTGATCAGGAGGGAAGCCACTATCAATCCCGGAAAGATGTTGACATTCTACGCCACTTTAAACAACTGGTCAGGAAGGAAGCCACAATCAATACCAAAAATATGTTGACATTCTACGCTACTATAAACAACTGGCCAGGAAGGAAGCCACTATCGATACCGAAAAGATGTTGACATTCTCGATTTAAACAACTGATTAGACATTCAATACCGGAAAGATGTTGACATTCTCGCTAGTTTAAACAACTGATTAGGAAGGAAGCCACTATCAATACCGGAAAGATGTTGACATTCTACGCTAGGAAGCTACCACTTTAAAAGATGTTGACTTCTACGCTATTTAAACAACTGGAAGGAAGGAAGCCACTATCAATACCAAAAAAGATGTTGACGCCACTTTTAAACAACTGATCAGGAAGAAGCATTCAATCCGAAAAGATGTTGAAATTTACGCTACTTTAAACAACTGGTCAGGAAGGAAGCCACTATCGATACTGAAAAAGATGTTGACATTCTCGCTACTTTAAACAACTGGCCAGGAAGGAAGCCACTATCAAAAAGATACCAAAAAACATGTTGAAGGAAGCATTCAATACAAAAAGATGTTGACTACTTTTAAACAACTGATCAGGAAGGAAGCTACTATCAATACCGAAAAAGATGTTGAAATTCTACGCTACTTTAAACAACTGGTCAGAAAGGAAGCCACTATCGATACTGAAAAGATGTTGACATTCTACGCCACTTTAAACAACAGGTCAGGAAGGAAGCTATCAATTTAAACAACTGGCCAGGAAGGAAGCCACTATCAATACCAAAAGATGTTGACATTCTACGCTCTTTGAACAACTGGTCAGAAAGGAAGCTTTAAAAAGATGTTGACATTCTACGCTACTATAAACAACTGGCCATTGGAAGGAAGCCACTATCAATACCGGAAAGATGTTGACATTCTATGCAACTAAACAACTCAATATCGATACCGAAAAGATGTTGACATTCTACGCTACTTTAAACAACTGGCCAGGAAGGAAGCCACTATCAATACCGAAAAGATGTTGACATTCTACGCTACTTTAAACAACTGGTCAGAAAGGAAGCCACTATCAATACCGAAAAGATGTTGACATTCTACGCTACTATAAACAACTGGCCAGGAAGGAAGCCACTCAATACCGGAAAGATGTTGAATTCTATGCAACTTTAAACAACTCGAAGGAAGCCACTATCGATACCGAAAAGATGTTGACATTCTACGCTACTTTAAACAACTGATCAGGAGGGAAGCCACTAAATCCCGAAAGATGTTGACATTCTACGCCACTTTAAACAACTGTCAGGAAGGAAGCCACAATCAATACCAAAAATCATTCTATACTATAAACAATCAACAAAGGAAGCCACTATCGATACCGAAAAGATGTTGACATTCTACGCTAGTTTAAACAACTTTAAATACCGGAACTTCTACGGTTTAAACAACTGATTAGGAAGGAAGCCACTATCAATACCGGAAAGATGTTGACATTCTATGCCACATTAAACAACTGGTCAGGAGGGAAGCCACTATCAATACTGGAAAGATGTTGACATTCTATGCCACATTAAACAACTGATCAGGAAGGAAGCCACTATCAATACCGAAAAGATGTTGACATTCTACGCTACTTTAAACAACTGCTCAGAAAGGAAGCCACTATCAATACCGAAAAGATGTTGACATTCTACGCCACTTTAAACAACAGGTCAGGAAGGAAGCCACTATCAATACCGAAAAGATGTTGACATTCTACGCTACTTTAAACAACTGGTCAGGAAGGAAGCCACTATCAATACCGGAAAGTGCGATAACAACTAGTGAACTTGAAAAATTGTTTTAATAGAACGTTTTTATAAATTTCAACCAAAAGTAGAGTTGGCTGCTCGATCAATGAATACCAAATGTTTCCTTATACCGGATAATATGACCATTATCATATATAACCAAAAGACTAAAAAGTCAGATGTAGGTCAGCTGTGCAGCGCCAATTACCTAAATAGTGGGTGTGTCTATCTTACAAATTATCTTTTGAAATCTTGGTCAAATTTGGTGACGACAACGAAATAGTCGTTACCCAAAGCCAAAAGAGACACATAAGCGTAACACTCATCAAAGCAGACATCTTTTATGACATCTAAAGTATTGTTTCTTTTCCCTTTACATTTTATGTGATATGTGCTTTCCCACTTTTTTCCTTTTCAAACAACTAAATTCACAATTGCTAGTTTTTCACAGGAAAGGACGTTTCAGAAAATACCATTCTTTTGTATCAATAAAAGTAACAAGATGAAGATAATGACATTAAAACTCCGACCAGGTATGGATTAAATAGCCTCACCAACCCGCAACTGGTCAGGTAAAAAAATATGGTCAGCCACTAACAAGATTGAGTAGGCCCTGAATTTGAAAGATGAAGATACTAATACATAAAAAATATTTAAATGATAATTGAACTACAAAACTCAGAAAAAAGTTCTGATTACCAATTAAGATTATCCATTAAAATGTTTTTCAATATGTTTTATCTCACGGCACACTTGAATTACTTGGATAGTTCCCACTATCAAATTAAACTTCCATAAAAAAATTATGATTATCAAAAGACTTAAAAAAACATTTATTAACTTTATTATAATTTGCAACTTTAAAAGTTTATATTTATTTATTTTCTGTTTATTATAATTTAACATTTAATGAGATATCTGTTCTTGAATTTTTTAGCATATCTTCTTTTGAAGGAATTCCTGTGCCATATCTTCTTTTTGTAAGCCGAATTCTGTGCTCGAATTTTTTTAATCTTTGAAGTGAATATGGACATTCTATACTCTTAAATCTTCTTCCAACAATTTTAGCCGTGATAGAATTTAGCTTTTAATATTTATTGCAGAAAAGCTTGTTTGTATATTATTTTAACAATGGTCAGGGTTTAATTTTTGATATGTACCTTATCGTGCTTTGGACTCAAAATAATTTAATTAATGACCTTGAAAGATTTTTCGTTGCAAACAATTTATAACCATTTTGTCAATTCTCCCTTTCTATACCTTTCACATTTATTCCAATCTATCTGTTCATGTTTTTATCTACATTTTATACCAAACTGGATTAGTTTCCTATACGAAAAAAGGAATAAAGTATACAGATCTATCTTCCGTCTCATTCTCTCTTTTCTTCTGTCTTTCCATCGATAATTTTTAGTTTTTTACTCTGGTTTTCTTGTTTGCATTTTTTTTTCATTTTTTTGATATCCTGCCAACAAATCTATCCATGACTTTCTTTCCGTTTCATCCCCTTTTTCCCTTTCACACAGATTTTCCTCCTACATGGTCACTTTTCGTTTGGCTCTATCTTTCTGCATTTTTTTTTTTTTTTGATTCACCCACTCTTTTTCCTCCTCTTCATTCTCTCCCACGCTTTTGCCAATTTCTTTCTGATTAGTAGTTTTTATGTAGGTTTCTCAGCCCGAAAGCAAAACTAATTCCAGTTCAGAAGAACAGGAAATCGTACAGTTACTACACTCTGATCAAGAGCTAGAAAAACGTTATGTTCGTAAAATAAACAGAATAATATAGGTGAATTTTGAGTAAAACTTATGCTAAATATTTCATAAGGAAGTAAATACAAAACTCACGAGTCTCTCCCCCGCTCCCTCCTTCGCACTTTCTCTTCTCTCTCTCTCTCTCTCTCTCTCTCTCTCTCTCTCTCTCTCTCTCACACACACACACACCTACATCCAATCGTTGCAAAGGTGAACTGGCATGAAAGTTACTATGTCACAGTATGATCGAAAACTGAGCATTTTTCAGAATTCCTTCTTATATATATATATAAATATATATATGTGTGTGTGTGTGTGTGTGTGTGTGTGTGCGTGCGTGTGTGTGTTTGTATGTGTGTTTGTGTGTGTATTCAGTTGCTGAAAACCTCCTGAAGAGTGGACTGAACAATTCCAAAAAGGTTCACTTACGAAACCCTAGAGTCGAGCTACTGAATATAACTTTAATCAGCTAAGTGACAAATTTTATTTGTATTAATCATATATATATAATCGACGTGATGTGGCTTCGCTCTGTCTTTTCTATAAATATTTTCATGGCAGTTTTTTTTCCCTGGTGCCCAGATTACATGATTTTAAGCGTGCTACTAGATTGGCATCTAGGTCCCACGCGTTTACTGTTGAAATAGCTAAGTGCAACCGCCACTTTTACTCCAACAGTTTATTTTCTCATATCTCACACCTGTTGAACTCCCTTCCGTTTACTTGCATCCCCGATGAAATCTTCTAAAATTTAAATGCAACGTCAATCGCTATCTTCTATCTTCTTGAATGCCCCCCCCCCATCTTTTGTCCTTTCCTCATTCCTCCCTATACTCCCTGTAACCCCCTGCGTACTAGTGGCATTACTGCCTTGCTTGGGGTGAAATGATTAAAATAAATAAAAATTGAAATATATTGAGTGCTGGTGCTAATAAAATAATGCTTGATGTATAATAACAAAGCTATAATTTATATTATTAATAAATATGCATTTTTGCTTACCTGTAGCACAACACTGAGTTTCATGCACAACGCACTCGTCAGGTGCTGATTGAAAATTATTTTGTTTCGAAGTCATATCTATCGATACAGACACCAATTTCACTCGTTCTTATTGCAAAATCCAAAAGAATAAATATCACAATATTATAGTCATAACGAACTTGCACAACACACTTGTTCTCCACTCATGAAATCAACTACTTGCCCGACATGATTGTGGCCAGGTAACAGTCTTCAGTTTTCTAGAGTCCAAGTTATAAACCTTAACCGTTAACTGATTGGCTGAGTGGTACCAACATTGAATTAGAATATGATTTTATACAATCCAGCTTATACATATTTTCTTCTATACAGTCAGTTATGTGCCAGTCTTTTGATACCTGACTGACGAGGCATGATACGTCAGTCATGTATCGAAAGATACGAGGCAGATTTTTTCCTGCGGTAGACCAGTTGTCATTCTGCTATTTACCCATAACTAGGGGGAGAAGAAGAAGATTCATGCCTTTCCCAAGGGTATTAATGGATTCGACTGGAATTCGAACTCGGCTCTCCGATTCTTCAATCCGAGCCGTTATCCCTTACTCCACCTCTATACACGTTTCTTTTTAAGTCACCAATGCAAGGCAATAAAGACACAAGTGGTTACAGAGAGTGAAGGGAAATGAGTAAGTGTTAGTAAGGAGAAAGGACAATAAAAGAACAGAATTCAGAAAGAGAGAAGATGGCGACCGATGTTGCATTTTAATATTTTGAAGATCATAGGTGACATGAAAGCAAGAAATTAGAAGAGAGCTTCACAGGTGAAAAGTGCAAAAAAAGAAAGTATTAAAATAGAACTTATGGTTGCATCTACCTATTTCGACAGTAAAACCATAAGACCTAGTTGCCAATCTTTTGTGACGTACGGTTACCATCAATGATTAAGTATAACTCAAGACTTCAATGTTAAGATAAAATAGTATTTAATTACAACCGCAAATAAATACATAAGAACAAAGGAGTAAAAGTCAACCAAAGATAATTAACCACTTCAGTGAATACCTTGTTAGTAGCTCGGCTTAACGTCCGCTAAATCCTAAATCAAAACCCAAATCATCGACGCACATGAATTCGACTGGATAAGTCCACTCAATTGTCACTCAATAATCACTACAGTCAGTAGCCTGACACCGCTATTTATACACCTGGCGGAAAACATATATTCATATATCTAGAGTGTCACGCTCGAATCTCGGTGCCGGTAGTTACTTATTTTCTTTCTATATGACACAATCTAGTAGCAAGCTTAAATTCATACAGTTGCGGCAGCAAGAAGAAAAGCACATTAGGACAATAGCCATGGAAATATTTATAGAAAAATAACAGAGGGAAGCTACGTTACGGCGGTAGGAAAGTGTCGAGATGACACGTCAACACCAATAACATCACAGACCCTTCTTTAGCTTTTATTAAGAATCTCGCTTGAGAAAACATAGAACGGTTGCTAACTTGAATATACAGTCCCTCATTTTAAAAAAATCTACACTGTAACAGATACTGTCCCTATTTGCTTATTACATTATACTGAGTTCATTTCTCCATTATGGGGAACAAAGCATTCCATAGTGTTAATCCTCTGTCTGCTTGTAAGCTTTCGTTCGCCTACAGTCACTACCCTGTTTTCTAACTCCATAGAACGACTTACTCATAAAAAAATGCTGACGATTTTATATTCAGTCAATGACATGTCCTCTAGCGACTTTAATAGTGAAAGTTTCAGGGATGATCACTCAATGCTGCTTATATATTTCTGTGTTTAAGCCAATTATATTTACCTGTCTTTGGTTAATGTAGTTATTTACTAGGCTTTCAATAGTCTGAGACACAGATCTCAGATTTCTCATAATACCTGTTGTACCTGCCCTTCTGAGGTGGTCACTCACGTAAGTACACAGCAAGCTCATCAGCGCTGCTTATTTTCGGTGATTTAGTGAGAATCAGTGTTTGACCAAAAATCAGTCATTGTAACTTCTATGAGGAATTTGTGTGTTGCTTGCTCATTTTTCGATGGTGAGAGAAACGAAGTCATCCTTAGTGTTCATCAAATGTCTGTATTTGAGCTTAATCGGGGATCTGGATTCACTAATATGTTCGGTGACTCTAAAATAAAATAGAATAGAATATCTCCCCATTGTGAATGATAGTGGTTTTATTTTAGTGCCCACAACATTTTGTTCTGTAGTGCCCTACTTGATTCATTTTCTTTCTGTCTTTTTTTTTTTTTTTGCTCAATCGTTAGCCATTACTATTTATTTATTTATTTTCTTCAATAGGAATAGATAGATTGGCCTAGCGTCCGGCTACGGTCTTTTGAACAGGAGTAAAGGTTTATCCCTTGTTTCCTGTCTAGGATTGTGTTTCCGGTTCCTTCTAAAACTTACTTCGACTCTATACTTCTAACGTTGTAATTCTGTTTACGTCTAGACTCTAAACTCTTTAATTCTGTTTACTATTTATTTATGTTTCCTCAATAGTTCACCTATCGTCCAAGAATAAACAGCACTGATGTTTACATTTTTTTTTCTGCGTTTAAGTTCATTAAATTTACCTCTGTTTGGTTAGTGTAGTTATGTACACGCTCCTCCCCGTTTTGTTTCTAAAGAGTACAGGTTTATCCCTTGTTTCCTGTTTAGGATTGGGTTTCTGATTCATTCTAAATTCTTTTCATTCTCTTTCAATCCCAATAGCCCCTAGCGTCTTAGTGACGTCATCGTCTTGCCTTTTCATTGTGAATTTTATATCCAGCAAACGTCTAGCAACTTTAGTAGACACAGTTTCAAGGGTAATCGCTCAACGTGCTGCTATTTACATTTTTTCTGCTTTTAAGTTCATTAAATTTACCTGTCTTTGGTTAGTGTAGTTATGTACACGCTCTCCCTGTTTTGTTTTTAAAGCGTAGGCGTTTATCTCTTGTTTCCTGTTTAGGATTGGATTTCAGGTTCCTTCTAAAACTGAATTCTTTTCATTCTCTTTTACTCACAGTAGCCCCTTGCGTCTTAGTGACGTCATCGCCTTGCTTTTTTATCGTGAATGGTGGTGATTTTACATCCAGCAAATGGACGAATTTTCAAAGGTGATCGCTCAACATATTGCTGTTTACATTTTTTAAGCGTTTAAGTTCATTAAATTTACCTGTCTTTGGTTAGTGTAGTTATTTCCTTAGTCTGAAACACAGATATCGAGTTGTTTATATCTGTGATAAGTAGGCTCATCAACGCTGCGTATTTTTGCTGATTTTTTAAAAACTAGTGTTTCCAGTGAATGTTGACCATAAAACTAACTCTAAAGAGGGTCAGTGTAACTTCCAAGATGAATCAGTATGGCTTTTGTATTACGGTTATAACACCAGAGGATAATTTTAACCTTTTTTATTTTTATTTCGATTTCACTCAGTTCTCTGGGTTTTTTCTTCTTCAATTATATCATTGTTGTTTTTCGCGACTTCATAAAAATGCACATTTGATAACGAATTTAAAGCCATCTTTTAAAATCGTTCTTGCTGTTTACTGTACGAGGACTTCTCTCTGCAATATACAGTTAAATGATTGAAAATGCTTAAAATGTTGGTTTTTTTTTAAAAGTTTTGTACTGAACATTTCAGTCTCAACAATATGACAATCATATTGTTCCGTTGCGGTTGATAGTGATTAAATCACGATATTATTTTGGGAAGACACAGTTACAGATATACACAAAGAACGATCACTTAATTTTTTTTTTAAAAAGAGTCTATCTTCATTGTAATAACAAAGAGAAAACGTCGCTCGCCATCTCACCATAAAAGATGTTGATGTTTCCTTCGCCGCAAGAACGATGTTCGTCCGAATAAGTGGTCGCACAGACCTAGACCTATCCACTCGACATTTCCTCTCTGGCCCAGTCAAAAGGTACGATCCGGAACTGCAGGTGATGGAACAGTTCCAATAAAAGGCCAGAAATATTTTTCTTGTACTTCGCATCCCGTGCAATGCGTCTTGCTCAATCGCACAGGCTCATAACCTGTTGAAAAGGAATTAGTTAGTATTCCTCTAGTCTGGCTGCCCTACCAAGACTAGAGAGCCAAATCTACTTTGTAGGGAACAAACAGATCAAAGTTGGCATAATAAAGGCATAATTTCTGTCTGAACTTCTGGGATAAGGTTTTGTCCTTATTTACATACTGACTATTGT